ATACCTGCATTTTTTATTTCATTTGGGACTTTGCTTACTTCGTCAATTATCTGCATGCATGCTTTATTTTTTAAAATATAAATTTCCGGAATTTTGTACTTTATACAGATATTTTTCAGGTCCCTCAGCGCTGCAGTTAATGCGAACGTCGATCGGGTGTCCTGCTTCATGTAAATTTTATTTTCTGCTCTGACACAAGCGAAGTTCCCAATTTTATAATCATAATTATTCCCATTAATTATTTCGCAGTATTTTTTGTCTGCTATGACACTTAATTCAACTGAGTTTTCAGCAGGCTTAAGAATTTCCACCACTCCAGGGTGATCAAGCCTTTTATGAGGAATATCCTTGCCCGCCTGTTTGTCATCTGAATTATTTTTGTTGAGATTTTTAGTTTGTGCTCTCGTCTGGACGTATATTGTTTCATCCACGTTGTCTCTCATTGCCTTAAGCTGATCGGATGTTATTTCTATGCGAGATAATGCGTCTGCTGTTACATTATCTCTACCCTTCACATACTGAATTGTAAAATCATACTCTTCAAGAGTCAAACGAAACTTTGTTAATCTGCTAGAAGGATTAGACATGCCAAAAAGATATACAAGTGGTCGATGGTCAGTAAGAATTAAAAATTTTCGTCCAAACAGATACGGCCTGAAGTGCTTTACAGCAAAAACAATTGCTGTTAGCTCCTTCTCTATTGTTGAGTATCTTTTTTCAGCTACGTTTAGAGACCTACTTGCATATGCCACTGGCTTATCATTTCCATTAGATAAAACAGCGCCTACAGCATAACCTGATGCGTCTGTCCTTAATATGAAATCATTATCTGGAGAAAAATCCGGATATTGTAAGATTGGTGGGTGAATCAATGCATCTTTTAATTGGATAAAGGAATTTTGACATTCAGTAGTCCAATTAAAATTGACGTTTTTTCGGGACAGGTTATTTAGTGGTGCCGCAATATTGGCAAAGTTTGGAATGTATTTTCTATAGTAATTTGCAAATGCGACAAATCTTTTAGTTTCGTTTGCATCTTTAGGAATTGGATAATTTTGAATTACTTTTGTTTTTTCAGGATCAGGCGAGACACCTTCAGATGCAATAATATGTCCCAGATATAGAATTTCTTTTCTTAAGAAATTGCATTTACTAGGGTTTAATTTTAAGTTTACGTCTTTAAGTCTTTGTAGAACTTTTGTGAGATTTTTGTTATGATTAATGAGATTATTTCCAAACACTATAAGATCGTCTAAATAAATAAAACAACTGTCATAGTTCAATCCAGTCATAGCAATCGTCATCGCTCTGGAGAAAGAACTAGGACTAATTTTCAATCCCATTGGCAGCCTAGTCATTTGGTACTGCCCTCGATCTGTCGTGAATGCTGTACAATGTCGGCTCTTTGCTTCTAGCCCTATTTGGTAGTACGATTGAGACAAATCAAGGTGAGAAAAATAAACCGCCCCAGAGAGAGAGTCCAAAATATCAGTTATACAGGGTAGAGGGAATTTATCGTCCTCGATCCTCTTATTTAGCTGCCTGTAGTCGATAACTACACGCCACTTTTTATTGCCATTACTATCAGCCTTTTTCGGAACGATTAGTAATGGTGCTGACCATTCTGATCTGGCTTCCTCGATAATACCGTCTTGAAGCATTTTTTGAACCTGTTTATGAACTTCTGCCTTTTGTGCATGTGGTAAACGGTAAGGCTTTATATATGCCGGTGTGGCTGATTTTTGGAGTGTTATAGCTTGTTCATAAATATTTGTTACAGTAAGCGGATCTTCCTCTAAGTGAAAAACATCTGCGTATTTTGCACAAACTCTCTGTAATGAATAATTTTCTTCTTGGTTCAAATGATTTGTATTTATTAATTTGAAAATTTTATCTAACCTATCAACCGATATCGCATTATCACTGAATTCGCAGGTTTCAAAATTATTTAAGTTACTGGTTTTTGGTTTGAAATTTTTTAGCTTCACATCTTCACTACGAGTATTAAGTATTCTAACAGGTATCATATTACTAATTGGTTTGGTCATAATTGCAGCGACAAAAACGCCTTTACAAAGTTCATCAGGTAAAACTAAACATTCCTCGTTCTCGTCTACCCAGCAATATTTGATTACCTCACAGCGAGCTGGTATCGTTGTGTAAAAATCGTACTTGCATTCTATAGGTAGAGAAATCTGAGTATCGTTCACAAAAAAAGAAAATATAAATTTTTCATAATCGATAATTGCCTGGAATTTATAAAAAAAATCTGCCCCAATGACCCCGTGAATGCCGTTCTCAAACGCATCCATCAGCAAAAACTTGTGCACTATATCTGCATTATTAAATTTCAATGTAATATTTGCTGAACCTTGTGAAATTGTTGACCCTGAAATCCCATTTATTTTGACCCGGTTTGAAAAATCAACAATTTCATGTGTTGAAATAAATTTTTTGAAAATGACGCTGACTGACGCCCCAGAATCTAGTAAGAAAAAGAATTGTTCATCGTTATAAGTAAATTTAACGTAATTTAAGCCATTTAAATTTAATATGATTGCAGAATCATTACTAATTTGTTCCTGATGGAACACGAAAAAATGTTGAAGTACTATTTACGATATCAGTGTTTTCTTGGTCATTTTGCATGTAAAAAGTTCGTTGGGAATAATTATTGTTGTTATTCCTATTTTGAGAATTGTATCTATTGAAACTTCCCCTATTAATGCCATTGTTTCGTTGAGAAGATTGTCTCGAATTAAAACCTCCCCTATTTGGATTTTTAGTAGATCCGGCTGTTGTAGGAATTTTTATTAAAATGGTTGTTGAAGGAGCCACGGTTGTGAGGGTTTCTATTGTAATTGTTAAAAGTGCCCCTGTAATTTCCACGGCCGTGCCCGCGAAAATGAAAAATTTTATTTTGATTTGGTAGCTCCTCATCTTTGGCGCCGCGTATTGCCTCATTTAATGTCTAGTAATTTCTAGCCTTGATAATAGTTCGCAATTCGGGATTTTGCAGGCCGTTGGCAAAAGTGTTAATGGCAATTTTTTCATTAACATTTCTCAAAATTCCGACTGCATTGGCGTTACCATCAGCCTGTGTTATGGTTAAATCAACTAACAACTCTTCTACGTTTTTACCAAACTCGTCCAGGGATTTAGAGCCTTGCCTAGCATTGCTCAGCTTTGAAGATAAAGTTGTAGCAGACCTTTTTGTCAAAAAGTGTGTTTTAATATCAGCAATAAGTAATTGGTTATTGTCGTACTCGTCTTTCAATCTAATTTTTGCGCTCTGCGTTAGACGAGTTTTCAAAACGTAGAGAGTTAGTAGTTTTTTACCATCATTGTCTAACAACGAGTCATACAACTCAATGGCATCAACAAGCAACTTCGTCCCATTTTCAGAACCATCCATAGCAGGTAATAAACTAGCAGCGGTGCGTAAATCAAACTTTCCCGCCATGGTTTCTATATTTATTATCTGCTCTGAACTTTCTAACCTATCATCTAAAATCGATTTTATCGTCTCAAAATATTTTACTATGCCATCTACCTGTAGCTTGACTTGTTTTATAGTATCAGCCTCTTGCCTACTAGTATTGAAGTTATCTCTCAAATTTTTAAATTCTAATTCTAATTTATTAATTTTTTCTAACTTACGTCTAATTACACTAACATTTTCTCTTCTTTCCTGGGAGTCTTTGTTTAGATTTCTATAAAATACTTTTAATTCCTCTAATAAGTAACGAAATTCTTTTTCATCCACCATATCATATCCATTTCCATATATCCAATTTAAACTCGATCGGTGCTTTTAGATATTTCCCGTCTAATTTTACTCTCCAGTTGTTTCTTACATCTTATATAGCAAAGTATGCCTATACCAATAATTGCCAGACCTAAAACAATCAAAACCAAAACGTCCCTAGTTGATGTTACCGCTCGACTTGTAGTATCCGTTATTCCTCCACTATTGCCTGCCTGGGCTATTATGACTTCTTCCTTGACCTCTTTAGTTTTTGATTTCCCATGGTTTTTGTGCTTTCTAGCCTTTTCGGTTTCCAAATTCCCAATACTTCCCAGCTCTACTTAGTTTTTCCCTTCAACCATACCATTTAGAACCATAATTCGATTGGCAGGGTCGCCATGTGATAACCTTGCAGGGTTATCTTGATACTTTTAAATCAAACACAAGGTTTTTACAAAACCCAACTTATGTTTATTAGTTCGAAGACATTAATACAATCGTCAAAAACTATATGCCCTCTTTTGACGGCATGTTTATTCTAATTAACCTAGTTATCTTTAAAACTCATCATAAGCAATATTGCCTATTATTAATTATACATATTTATATTTGAATGTTAAACATACAATTGCTACATAATGTATAGGGTGTGAAACCCTATTGTAACTACAGGATGTTACACACTACAACGGTACTGAGAAATTTATCACAGAAACTACAGTTCAGGCCAAACCATACGCCATGCATTTGAAACAGATCAAAAAACAGGATAGCGTTATAGCAATTTGTATGTGGGTTTCGTTAGTGGATAAAACTTACAACATCTCATCCGACAACATACAAATATCAATAGAATCTCAGCAAAATTATGTTCAGGACTTACTTTCAGTTTCTATACGGAATTATACAATTATCACTCAATCTGCGTTGATAATTTTAGAGAAAATCGATAAAGACCATTATAACGCCGTCATTATTGACAGTCTCGATGAATATAACGATAATCACTACGTAACTTGTTTGGGTCAAACACGACTGATGGAAAAATACTTCAATGATAAATTTTACTTAGACTTTAGGGAAACGCAGATTCCTTTTATGTGGTCGTTCGGCAATTTATACGATAATGAAATCGTTCGTAGCCGATTAATATGGAGTCCCCATCCATTGCACGCAGCGTTAAAGTTTAAACTTTATCGCGGAAATCACGCGTGGACAGGAGAAGAACTTGTAAATGCAACAATGAAAGATGGATGTTTTATGCTAAACGATGATGGTAGCATTGGTAAACCATTCGTTTTTCCGGGATTTTCTCAAGGCATCGACGATGTTACCGAGTTCAATACGTGGGAGGAATGGAAAAACAATATTCTTCTTGCATATAATAAATCGTCTAATAATGCATACGAACCAAAAATAAAGACATTTGCAACGACCATCAGCAGTATATAAACATGAACAGCTCATTATAGGTAGAGCACTCGAATCGATCCTTCGACGAGTAAAGTAAAAATGTTTTGTCCAGAATTTGAATATTTTCAACACTAACTATCAAACAAGTTTTATTCGTTGCCAACTAATGGCCAAGCAATCCTTTTGCATGGAATAGAGCACGCCCTAATTAGTTTTGAAAATTTATATGTGCCGCGAAACGATTTACCTTTGAGTCTCCCAGGGGTGCAACTAGAAACTAGAAAGGAATCCAACGATACATCTTTCAGTCCTGAAGAAGTTCAACTAGAAATTAAAGAGGAATCCATCAACGATGTATATGTGCCACCAAACGATATACCTTTCAGTCCTGAAGAAGTTCAACTAGAAATTAAAGAGGAATCCATCAACGATGTATATGTGCCACCAAACGATACACCTTCTAGTTCTAAAGAAGTTCAACTAGAAACTAAAGAGGAATCCATCAACGATGTATATGTGCCACCAAACGATACACCTTAACTAAAGAGGAATCCATCAACGAGGTATATGTGCCACCAAACGATAGAGGCGATCGACCAACTATGGATGTTTCGCCCGGGCCTACTAATATTCCGATAATAGATCTTACCGAGGATGATTGGCAACTTCGTTTGGATAAAGTGTACGGGCCCAAGACGTTGAAGTTGAAGTACCTTCAAGCGTTTGATGTATTGAACCAATTTATTAAATACCACAAGTCGATAATTGAAAGCAGGTCTCATGTTTATTACAAATTTGTTGGCTCCGAACACTATCTTGAGAGAGTTATTCAAAATTATGGTTTCCAGTTTGTCTCGTTATATGGAATGCCTTTCATGTGCATTTGTGATGAAAGATCGCACAAAGGTAAACACATGCATGCTTTTATTTTTCGAAGAATAACCGACCAAATTCCAACTAGAGACACGTTAACTGATTTTATTGAACCGCCAATTACTGACGTTTCGCTATGGGTTGAAACTGCCCTATACATGATGGAAAAAGGCAAAAGTCGAAAATTTCATTGTAAAACGTTTACTTCTCCTTTATGTATTGATAATCCTTTACTCAAACGAATGTTGAAAGATTTTCTACTGCTTGGACTGAAATAGATATTTGATTGAACTATACCTTTGTCTTTTATTAAACACGCATTCTCTATAGGGTACTAGTGCTTGGACTGAAATAAATAGACTTTTGATTAAACTACCTTTGTCTTTTATTTAACACGCATATTGTTTAGGACACTATTGCAATGAGGAACTGAAATAAATAGACATTTGATTAAACTACCATTGTCTTTATTAAACACGAGTTACGACTTTGTATTGCGATTCTTTTTTAGGTTTACAGGAATCTTGTGCTTTATCGGCTTGTGCGGGTGCTGCAGCTTTCTTGTTCTTCTCTGGCACATCGACAAGCTGCACCTGACAACGGCGGCATAACAGTTCTAGATAATTGGGCATTTTTAGCATATCCTTCGTGTCTCTCGTTTTAAAGTAAACGTACATGGATTTGATCATTTTATAGTAACTCTTGACGTGCAGCTCACAAACTGACCCACGTGCAGCTCACAAACTGAACCAAGCTCAATTTATTTTCTTGATTGCAGAACGGGCAAAAATCGTACATGTTGTCGACAGCACTGCGCCGAAGATGTACAAGTTGATGCTTTAAGGCCGAACCGAGCCGAGCCCAAGTTTCGAAACAGAACAAACATCGATAATTGCCTTGGGTTTTACAGCGTTTAGAAATACCGATTGATGCCAAAACGTTTAGCATGTACATCATTTTATTGAGAAAACATGTATCCAGAACTTCTCCTTGTTCGTTAACGTAGATGCATCGTCCCCAGTTGGTATTGGGTAAGAGACGTATTGTGGGTCCCACTTGATCTCTGTGCAACGGTCTTTGAATTTTCGTGAGAATTTCTTTAGCGTCTTTAGCCTCGAACGTTGAGCAGCGAAATTTGAATTTATTTGGCGTTTTTCTAATCCATTGCGCCCATATCGGCAAATCGATGCGTTGGGGTCCATCGTTTTCGTCAATCGCAAAAAAAATGGGTAGCTTGTCGCGATTGCGTAGGTCGATCCAGGCAAACAATTGCTCCGTCGGCCAAGTTGAGCAAAACACTTTTAGAGCAGGCGCGTGGGTGTGCGTTTGCAGGAGCCATCAAACGTGTCTCCCAATTCCACTATGACGTTTTCAAATAATTTACTAATTGGTGTAAAAGCAGATGGTCGAATTTTCAACAACAACCGCTCGTACGAAGCAGTCACTTGCAGATTAACGTACAAACTAAGCGTCTTAGACTTTTGATTGGACGTTTCAGCAGTTTCTTCTTCTGATTGAATAAAACTATTGTTAATGAACAGATCAAATTCTTCGATGCCAATTGAGTTTATATACCTAACTAGTTCCTCGAACTCTGGCGTGATCGTTAAAGTAATTTCATCTTTAGCGCAGTTATAGTAAAGACCGTTACAATTCGCGTCTCCCAATAGAACGGTTTTCACTTTATGATTGCAATAAAAATGGTTAGCAACGCTCTGAATAACAGACTCGGTAGACATTGCAGTGATAATTTTGCGAAGTGCAATGTCCCGTGAACTGCTGAGGTTGGAACGGACAATTATTTGCGAGCTCTCAAAATCCATATTTAACTTTGTAGCTTAACAATTATCGGCGCATTCATCTTGTTAATCAAAAACCGTGCCGTCTGGACTTCAATAATTGTCTGTTTGTTGGACACGTTCCAGTTTCCCTTTAACTTTTCCACCGATACCGAATCGTCAAAGTAAATGTGGTGATTTAGGAAATTGAAATAGTCAAGCTTTTGGAGCCCCGTGTCAATTGTTAAGCCTGGTTCCATCCTACCATAAAGCACATCAACGGTAATGTAACTTTGCTGCAATCGCACCCGAAATCCATTTTCGTAAGAAAATAAGCAGACTTCCTTTGTCGGAGCCGCGCCATTCTCGACGTCTTCGCAGCGACGGAAAAATACTTTATAATCCTCTATGTTTGTGAAAGGGACAGGCAAATTAAATGACTTGGTACTGTCAAAAACAACTATTGGGTCGGGATAAAAACCCGACCAAACACCCAAGCCGTGTACATTAGGCCCGATTTGCGTCGCATACTCAACAAATGGGGAATAATTTCGAAATCGTCTACTTCGTTCAACGGTTTGTTATAATGCCATAAACTTTGATATTTGTGTTCGTCTTTACTACGACGGTAACATAAATACTCTGGAAAAGTCTTATCCAGGTTGGCCAGTATAAGTTCTCCCCATTTGTCCTTTGGCCCCATGTTCCCAGTCTCGATTTCAAATCCAACTTGACCGCGGATAAAGAAAGAGTGATCTTCAGTGTCGGTGTTGATAATTAATTCGGGTCCTAAATTCAAGTCCCCCATTTTAGGATTCAGACATTTTAATATCGATTGAGCCCAGAGCCAACCCCTAGGAACAATAGATTGTAACTTTGAACTCAATGCGCCCATTTGACGCGTATTTGCAAAAAGTTTATGCAAACGGTATGCCGTGATGATGAACATGTAAAGTTGCGTATTGGTCGGTGAATTCGGAATATCATCGACAACTTTACCAATTAATTTTGGGTCTTTAACGCCTCTCCAAAGCGCACACAGTACTTCACAGTGCAGGTCGTCATGTTGCGTATTACGAAACCAACTAGAAAAAACCTCACCATCAACTTGTTTCGGTAACCAGGCGCTGTGAATGATCAAAGATCGTTTAGGAGGCATCAACAATAAAGTGAAACCATAACAGAATATGATCAAGAGCCATACTGAATACATTTTCGATCTTAACATAGATTGGATATTCTAACGACTTATTATCATCGTTTATGACACAGACATCAGCGATCGGGCAGTTACCGAGTCTACAAAGGCTGGCATGTCTATGAATCAGGGGGGGCATGAGAAACACTCCCCAAACTGAAATTGTGATTATTCACAGGACTCTATCTCGGCAACCTATAAATATCAAGTTGTTCAGTATTTATAGCAACTCGTGTATCGATTTCAAAATTGAATAGAGCCAAGTGATATCTAACAATGGAACGCGAAATCCAGTGGATCATTAGGCTTCGCGAATGCGAATGGTTTCAGTTGTTTCCAAAATTTATTTGGACAACCAAAAGTTGCTATACACAGTTTAACTTTGAAAGCGGATGGGTGGAACGGTTCGGATTCGATTACGAGTTAACCGATGATGGAGAGTCTGATGGTAGGATGGAATTGATTCATTTGTTTAAGCGGTCCATGGGCACCATCAAACCACGTTTATTGTACAATAAGAACGTCGACTGGGAAAAAAATGTAAAGTTTCCAATTGTAATGGTTCTCAAATGCGCTCAAGAAACGACGGATACGCCTGAAACGAATAAGGAAATCTTTACTTTCGGCCCGAGTTTTAGCCAATTACGTGACGTGCCCATCGATAGTACGACCTTTACTCGTTACCGATTTTGTCGAGGAAATTGGCGCTTTAGTTTGACAAAAAAGATCTTCCGTGCAGAACCATACTTTTCATTCGAAGCGGAAAACGAGCATTGGTCAGAAGAGGACAAATCGACGCAGGAGCTGCATAAATTTTTCGAAGCCATAGAACCCATTTACAAAGTAGTAGAATTCTTGGATTTTGGACCTCTGTATCCCCCTCGTACAGTACCGAAATCTTTTACCACACTACCTCTTGAATATGACAATGTGAAAATCAAGTACGATGGGACAAGTAAACTTTTAACCGTGTACAGCGGTTCCCTTAACGTCGAATTGGAAATTGAACAATTCCAACACTTTAATCTTACAGTGTGAAGAGGTGGTCTGCTCAAGAGATGATAACCAATCAAGTACCGAGCTGATTTTAACGGACCTTTGTATGGTCAGGAATTTTAGTACTTGCTCCAATTTACTTTATGGTACCGTGAAACCCCTGTGGTGCGACCGAGGGCCACGGTTATTTTCTATTTCGATTCGCGATAGAAACTTTTGGCTGCAACATTTTCCTGACCGAATTGGACAAGTTTTCGTTAGCAGACCAATGCCGAAAACGAGTACCCCGACTTCGATACCAGGTATGCCATCTGATGGCTTGCTCGGTATCGGGAGGAAACTATATCAAAAAATTAAACCGTACCAGACCGTTGAGCTGTTGCACAAGAATGGGGAATTATTTGCATTGGAACGATCGTTGAAACGATTAAAGATGTAGGAAAATCGTTCAGCTCCTGAAGCTCAACATTGTCGATATCGTTTAAGAGGCTAAATAAAAATACACAAGTACCATTGAGCGTTTTATTCAAATACATAAACATGTACTTTTGTTGGGTAATACTAATTTATTGAACAGGTAATAAGGCATACAACGATGATTATGGCGATACAATTCTGTTAAACTATCGTTGAAGGGGGAAAATGAAAAACACAAAAGTATACCATTAAGCGATTTATGCAATACGTATACATTTGGCTTTGTTACGTAAAAATTGTTGATTGTACACGTAGGGCATACATCGATCACAGCAACACCAACCCGCTGAGTTTGTCCTCTTCTTTGTATACTTTTCCAGGTCGTCTTCATTTTTAATTTCAAAGTTACGTACAACCAAAAAACGTATTCCGTTATTGTACAAGCATATGGAGCAAACGGCCTTGTCGCCCTGTGCCTTCACGTTCGTCTTCTTTCCATTAACGTGAACGTGTTGATTTATCACCGGAAATGTTCTAAGTTCCGATGCAAGTTTATAGAAGCTCTCAGGTTGACACTTTAACGTTTTTATTGGTCCTCCGGTAAAAGCACTTATATGAAAGAGGTTCTTCTAATGCTTCAAATACGTCGTTCTTTGCCAATACGTAGAATTTTTGGTTGCTACCATCGAGACTACATCTGCTCAATAAATTCCACTTATTGCGGTGGAACAAAATTTCGTAGAAGCCCTCCTCCTGGAAATGCGTTCTAAAATATGACAAGAACGAATTGAAGCTCGCTCGAAAATACTGACTGAGCGGTTCCTCGTAAACTTGAGCTACCGTAAATTTATTGTACTGCAACGAAGAGAAGAACTGAAAGCCTCCATCGCCGATCATCAGGATAATTCGATTATTGTTATTCAATACAGCAAAGGAATTGAGTAGCGCTGACGACGATTGTTGAATTGTCTTTTTTCTTACGGTGAACATATTTAGAAACTTTAAGTCTTGCTCGCTAGAATCGATTGATGGAAACGAACCGCATTTCGGCGACGGTTTAAAGAACGGTACCAACCGTGGCAGATGATTTAAAATTGAAAGTATCAAGTCTTTATAACACTCGTTTTGCAAAGGCAGTGTTTTGATCAACTCGAATATATAGGACTCTGCTCTAGAAAAAGGTCTATCATTATCGACGTGGGGCAGGTCGAGGAATTGAAACGAACTGGCCAAATAACAATTGGGCGATTTTTGATCGGCTTGCAGGAGACTGTTGAAAAATGTAGAGTTGTAATCTTCAGTAAGATTTGTTTCGAGCTGCTCTTCATCGTCGGGGCAACTTTCGTTAAGTATGGTACTTTTCAAAAGTTTTCCTAATTGCAATTGGCTGTAGTGATTTGGGTTAGCCGGTTCGGTTTCGTTTCTTTTTCGTTTCGTCGTGAAAAAAACCACTTTCAGCTTAACATAATCCATCACTCGTACCGGTTCCAAGCTGGTAGAGAACGCTATGTACACGTCCACATTATCATCCGTTGTCCTAAGCTGAGCATTGTCGTCGGAACGAGTGGCTAACGTTGTGTAATCTTCTCCGCTTTGTAAATTGAAGGAATCAAGTACCCAAACACGATCTTGTATCGATTGAGGTAACTTGGAGATGGTCCGACGTACGATCTCAATACAATGATCCAATCTATTAAGATCGTAAATGATCAGTAACAGATCCTTTTGCAATACGTATTTAGTGTTCAATAATACGGCTGCCCAGTAGTTTAATTTCTCCAGCTGCGGTCCTTGGTTTTCGAGCGTAATGTTTAAATTACAACAACAAAATGCGTGAGCATATTCCGTTCTCGTTAGCGTTAGAGTTCCGTCCAATTGATTATATTCAAGTCCAATATCCCATTTTTCGATAATAGGGTTTGCCATGGAAAAACAAAAACATAAATGACAAATTACCCCACGACCCGTGAAAACTTTGACGTTGAAATGAGTTCTCACACTGGTATAGACGGAAAGGGCCACAAGTTCTCGAAATCCATTGATTTGAACTGCATCTATAATTTGTTCACCCATACATTCCAAATGTGTTCCGACTGAGGATTTGTAAGTTCCCTCTATCAACTGATGGCATACGCCGCAAATGTCATTAGATTCGACCCGGACAACAGTTATAAGGTTCATTTGAGTTATGGCCGCAATATCTTCGCACAATCCCTCTATGGAGGTCGACATAGTTTTAACTTTAGCAAAGGAAGCCGTGCAAAACGAAACTGATGGCCTCTATAACGACTCAGCGCTTTTATGGCGACAGGCCGCCAGTATTTTAGTGGCATACGCCAATGCAAATATTGATCCCGATGAAGTGGGGATTGTTACAAAGGTAAAATCGTTAATCGGTTGGTTAGTATCACGAGCAATAGAAAACAACAATGTCAAGCAACTAGCGCCCAATTATCTTTCCTTGAAAAGTTATCAGGATTCCATTGCGAAAGCTATGGACGAAATGGCACAGAGCGGCACAGAATCGGAACAGTCAGATTTTGCGATGCGTGAACCTAACGAAATTAAAGCGCCCAATTTATGGGATTTGAGTGGCCAAGAGGACGTCCGTGATCTTATTGTCAGTTTGTTTGCCGCCAATAACACCTTCAATGTAATGATGTTTGGACCTCCGGGTACGGGAAAAACCTTCATGGTTGCCTCGATAGCGAAATCGTATAATCTACTCTTTATTGAAGTTAACAGTGCAAACCTAATGTCGGCCTATGTAGGTGGCACCGAAAAGAACATTAAAAACTTGTTCGAATTGGCTCGTAAAAAGGTGACGCCCGATCGTTCGGTCCTAATCTTTTTCGATGAGGCCGAAGCGATCCTTTCGACACGAAAAGACAGTCCTATCAATACCAATCCAGTGACACAATTTATGATTGAAATGGAAAGGATACAAACAAAGGCGTTTACATTTTCTTTATTACCAATTTGTTGAGTAAAATAGAGCCAGCGATGAAGAGATGTTGTTATGGACTGTTTATTGGCTATCCAAAAACTAAAGAAGCCATTGCATCATTATATCGTCACAACTTGGCCAATTTTAAGAATACTGTTAGCGAACAAACCATAGAAACTTTAGCAACGGCCAATGATAAACTTCTCTCGCCTAGCGCCATTGCGAGCATAGTCAAATTAGCTTCCACTTTGGCCAATAAGATTACTACGAATGATAAGTTTCGTAGAGTAAGAAATCACTTGTACATTAAAGATCCCAATGGTTTCTATACGTTTGCCGATGTTTCTAAGCAAGAAGGAAAACCTATCACAAAGCACATTTTAGAAATTGTACCCATTAATGATAATCATCTGATAAATGCGTGGCGTGCTACACCATCTGCCATTACGGCTGAGGAACTAGAACGTTATAAAGATGAGGCCAAAGTGTTATTGCTGTAAGGTTCGATTTTGGTTGAGAAAATTATACACATAATTAGTTTAAGGTGTTTAATTGACAGAAAAAAGGTTATTTTTTTTTGGACAACGAGCCGGTCGAATCGTCGTCCAACAGGTGCCCAATCGTCTTCTTTCTTCTGCCGTCTTCTTTTTTCTGCCGTCTTCTTCCTTCTGTCTTCTTCTCTTCTTCTGTCTTCTTCTTTCTTCCGCCATCTTCTCAAAGCTTGGACTGGCTCGTTCCCTGCCTTCGAGCCAGTAAAAGCTTTGAGGCAGGGCAGGGTGGCACCCCGTCGTCCCAGTCTTCGTCTTCTTCTTGCACCGTGGCCTCCGTGGCCTCTGGGACTGGGACTAGCACCCCGTCGTCCCAGTCTTCGTCTTCTTCTTGCACCGTGGCCTCCGTGGCCTCTGGGACTGGGACTAGCACCCCGTCGTCCCAGTCTTCGTCTTCTTCTTGCACCGTGGCCTCCATGGCCTCTGGGACTGGGACTAGCACCCCGTCGTCCCAGTCTTCGTCTTGTTCTTGCACCGTGGCCTCCGTGGCCTCTGGGACTGGGACTAGCACCCCGTCGTCCCAGTCTTCGTCTTCTTCTTGCACCGTGGCCTCCGTGGCCTCTGGGATTTTGGACGGGCTCGTCCCAATCGTGGCACTCTGGCACCTTTGGCACCTCTGGGACTGGGACGGGCTCGTCCCAATCGTCGCACCAATCTGCCGGCGTGAAGTAATTGACGGTGGGCGGCTCGTCGGGCCACTCGTTATTTTGCAGCACAGGTGCTGCAACACCGGCGGCCCGTTGATGTTTGCGGCCGCCTCTGCGCCGCCTGTACTTTTTCACCTCTGATGCTGCTGGTGGTGGCGGCGGCGGCGGCGGCAAAAGAAAACAAACCGCCACCGTATAGCCGGCAGGGACGGCCGAAGCTGGGGGCCACGGAAAACTCGGAAAACTTGCTGATATTTTTCGTTACGGTAGGTACGGTACGGTACATATTCAAAGCGTAAGTAGAAACTGAATTTTTTCATTAACCGCCGGCCGCTTTTATGCAGCTCGCGCATGGTTCATCGAATGGGTGGGGAACGTCCCACCACCACTATAAGTGATGCAATATATATAGATTCCAACAAAGGTGCTTGAGTCATCAAAATAATAAAGCACGAATGTCAGAAGAGTTTATGTTTAGCAGGAAATTTGCTATCGAAACCATGATAATGCCTCCTCAGCCCACAGAAACAAATATTGTGGATATATTGATAGGTTGTTTTTACCGTCCCAGTTATATATTGACAAATATTATTCGCCAGTGCGTAGATATTGAGTTTGGGGTTAACCGAGATTTGGTACAAGTAACTTCCCTGAGAACCTGGCTTCAAAAACAACTTGTTTTGCTATTCGTTCCTGATAAGATGAACGTGAAAATTGCAGAGTTTTCGATGGACTTTGTGAAAAAAACAGATTTAACGGGAGCTATATACTTGGAAAACCTTTTTCTGTGGTACATATTAAGGCGACACGTTAATCTAGACACCAAAGAGGGTTTAGCTTTCCTACCGTCGCTCTACAGGGGCATGATGACTAGCGATTCTATAATTTTGCCAAAAGAGCTAGATGTGAATCAAAGCGATCGCTATTTTATGCGCGTGCTAGCCGCAAATATTTGGAACGATACCTTTGGTACCCCGTTTCAATTCAACTTTGGGCCTTGTTGTAAATATGCCTTAATGTGCGATTTTCCCCGAAAACTCTCCGTCGAATTTCGACCGGTGCCACATTTCCGTTTCAAATCGGATTTCTATTACGTGGAAAAATTCCGATCGCAAGATCTCAATTGGTATAGATTCAGGTCTACGGTATTACCTATACCTTGGAAGGGTTTGAAGTCGGGAGAATATAAAATGATCGATGGATCGAAAAACATTGATCCGATTTACCCACCAACTTGGTTCGTGCTCAAATTGTTGTTTATAGATCACGAAAACGAAACGCTTCTGTATATTGTGGGTAATGAAGGTTTGTGGCTAAGTAAACGGTCATCCCTATCATTACCCGGATTAGTCATGGAAATTGATAGTGTATGCCGTAATCGAATCAAAGCAAAAACAGGCCTGGGAGAAACATGGCTTTTCGAAATTAACGAAACCGAATTATCTACCTGCGACAACATGATTTCAACTAAAGTGGAAAATGGTAAATGCTTTATTACGGTGAAAAAGGCACGCAACCAAAAAATAACATCCTGCCATTTGAAGTACAATACCGACAACCGTTCGCAGATCTTGTTTTCCTATCAAGATGGTATTGCTACCATTGACGGTTTCCAATTTTCCTGGTGATATATTTGCGTGAACGATTATGCGTGGCTTGATGTGCTTCCACTGCTGGCAGATACACCTACAAGTGGCATCTTAGCGATGATATTTTCATCGTCCGTTTCAATATCATCATCAAGCTCGAATAAAGAATCGCCATCATCACTTGACGCATGATTTTGTTCAACGGGCTCTTATTCTAAACGTAAACGTTTTTCGGCAGGTTGATCACCTCGTATTTCGGCTTCCGAGGCAAACTGCTTTTCCGTTTCGATGGTCAGTTCTGCATGAGGCTGCTCAGTTGCTGCTTGAGACTCTGTTCCTGCATGAGGCTCTGTTCCTGCTTGAGGCTCTGTTCCAGGTAGATTGGATAGAATTTCGTCGGCCGCTTCTGGAAACTCTTCTGTCAATATGTTTTGTAAAAAGCTGTGTTGCATTTGCGACGTTGAAATGCTTGGTTCACTCAAAGAGGAAATCATGTCATTTAGGTCGCGTGAAATTTGCGTTTTTATGTTGTCATTTAGTTCGCATTTACTATGGGCAACATCATCGGTACAATACATTTTAACGGTTTCTATTAGGAACGCAACTATCGGATTTATGGGCGAATATACGTCTTTACGAGATTGCGTTTGACGATTGAAGTAGGCTACATAATTGTCCAACATTTCTTCGGTAGGTCTTTGGGGTATTTTAAGAAGAGCTAGAGCCCTAAACGATTTGGCGTATACGGATTTAGCCATTTTCAATATGAATATCGCCGAATAATGAAACTCGGCCGCTTTTTGATAATCCCGAATTAAGAAGTGGGCCGTATCGCGCATTTTTTCATGCTCCAGCATCCGGCTCAAGATGAATACGGTGGAACTTGAGAGAATTGGCGTAACTTAAAGCCATACTTTTTATTTTTGATTCATCTTTACAAATACTAAAAAGAGCAAAATAGAGAAACAAACATTTTGATACTTTTTATGAGCCTATATGGAAAATAATGGATTGATAGTAGGATTTGTTATGTGTATAGTCTAGGGAGTCATCCTAAGGCAAAACCATGAAATAAAAATAATGAAAAATGCATCTATGACCGTACATTATTCTCAACTTCTACAAATTTCCAGACATTGGATGCAAGCATTTATATATTATATGCTGTCTACAGTTTCTAGACTAGGATCATTAGCATCCTTGATATCAACGCTTTTAGAATCTTCTCGGTGGATGGAGCAGTGTAAAAACCTACTCACATAAATCAACACCACTGTGTAAAATGCAGCTGTTTACAGTTTCTGGACTGGAATCATTAGCGTCCCTCTATATCAACGCTTTTTAGAATCTTCTCGGTGGATGGAGCGGTATAAAAACCTACTCACACAAATCAACACCACTGTGTAAAATGCAGCTGTTTACAGTTTCTGGACTGGAATCATTAGCGTCCCTCTATATCAACGCTTTTTAGAATCTTCTCGATGGATGGAGCGATGTAAAAACCTACTCACACAAATCAACACCACTGTGTAAAATGCAGCTGTTTACAGTTTCTGGACTGGAATCATTTGCACCCTTGAAATCTGTGAAATTAACGTACAGTAACAGGTGCAGGATTCAACATTCTTCTAGTCTTGAAACCTTGAATCTTATTTCGTTGAAAGTGACATGGTTGTTATACACATTGTAGCCCTCAGCGTTTTATAGGATAGGGGTTTTATATGCCCTACTGCAATTGAGACACATAACATCCATATAAACTGGCGTCCAACTAAAATGTGTATAACAACCATGACACTTTCAACGAAATAAGACATAAGGCAGCTGAGTAACGCGCGCGGTAGCTAAGTGCTTTCATATATTTTTATTATTTAAGACCTTTAAGGGGTTTGAGGTCGAAAATCGTATTTGGATCAAGCACGTCTGTTAGACAAATTTTTAAATTAAATAAAACTATTTTACCTATTGGAACTCAAAGAAAATGTGATTTCTCTATTTCTGGAGCATCTTTTGCAAGTGATGAAAAAGTTCAAGAACGTTATTGTTATAGTAATTGTTTCTCATAAAGGTATATCAATTTTACTATTGATAAAATGATAAAAATAAATATTATTAGAATTTCAGAGACCCGTTGCTAGTGAAATTTGCCAATGGTGGTAATAAGAAGAAAAACTTATACAAGTATTACTTCTAAGCTGATTCGATGATGATACTCAAGAATAGGATGGGGATGTTCACTAACCCAAACTAACCTAAACACAAACCGATTTAGAGACACTAAAAGAAAGTATTGAGTACGTCCTGATGCAAGTTGGTTTCAGGAGCTATACTTCAACAACCGGCAGAATAATGGATAACGGTTTCAATTGCCAGTGGTATTGTTGTAACCAATGAAGTTTATCCGAGGTTTCAAGATTCGGAAACATTCTAATTATAGGCTGCACGCTTCAACAACTCCCCCACTTAGATATAAGTATTAATATGGTAAACCCTCTAGAAGCATCATCATATCTACCACTGCCAAAGAGTATAGATGCTATAAAAAGCTGTCCTGAACATTCAAAATAGTGATCAGAAATGAATAGGATCAGAAGAAGGGTGCGGGAATTTCATCACGTCCCGAACAAGCTTGCAAGTGGGTGCATTGTGATGACTCGATTTCGGCTTTTAACAGCAGGATACGAACTGGAGTCATCTCCAATTTAAAGCACAAAGAACCGCAAGCATTTTTGGTGGAAGGTGGCAGATTATTTAAGAGACGTATTTACAACGCTCTTAAAAAAGATGACGCAACCAAGGTGAATGCTGCATTCTGCGGTGAATTCGAGATCATCAAAGGCGATAAAGTACTTAAGGAATTTAAGTATTTTACCACATCCAACGCCCCCATCTACTTAGACACCGATCTCGGACTGTGGTTCAACGAAAAGGTCACTGAACCAATTATGGTTGAGTTGGAGGAATTCCAGGAGCGTGATAGTGGGTGGGCACTGAAGAATATTGTTAATTTGGGGATAAACATAAATAAATTTTCGCCGCAGCTAGGATCCTCCTATGTAAAACTACCAGCACAAATAGTTGCGAGAAAGGCCTGTGTAAACGTGCAGAACAACGATCAGGCTTGCTTTGCTTGGGTAGTAGTTTCTGCATTGTTTCCAGTAGAAAAGACTCCTCAAAGACTAAGCAAATACCCGGACCCCGCAGATGTGCTGAAGTTGCAAGATATCAGCTATCAACCAATGAAAATTCTCCAAAGTGTACGAAGGTTAAAAATTGACGGATATAAAAATATGATAGTACCAGAAGGGCCTTCAGATACCGCAAGAAATGAAGCTCATACTGTTTTGATCAAATATGGTTACGATTCTTATTATCCTGCTTATGTTATTAATTATCATAGAATCTACTAAGGAAATCAAACAAACTACGAGATGAATAATAGATAATGGTTTTAGTCCCCAGCGGTATTATTGTAACCAATGAGATTTATCCAAGAGAAGCGACTAAAACTTGGAATGATATCCATTGGGCTATTAGGTTATTTCTAATTAATGAAACAGAGCTTCCACCATTATTATTAATTGACAGCGTGGAACGACATAGAGACAACTGTGTGCTCTCTATTCATCAATTTTTATCAGTGTTTTGCGGTTTCTTCCTAGAAGATATTTTATAGGCGAGTAAAAATTTTTTGGTTTTTGAAGATGACATCATAGAATAGGACGAGGATGTCCACTAACCCAAACTAACCAAAACACAAACTGGTTTAGAGACATTGCAAGAGAGTATCCAATATGATCAGATGCAAGTTGGCTTCAGGAGCTATACTTCAACAAAAACAGACAGCTAACGATGTCGTTTTACGAGGAGTGTACTCGAGGAGTTAGGAAAATACATAATATGATGCGAAATACTAGAACTGTTGGGGAGAAGCAGCACTTGGAGGCCGCACTCCGTCATATACGCAGTCTCAGGAATCAGTTCAAGTCTCAGCAAAAAAGCTGAAATTTCAACTCGTCCTGAAGGAGCATGAAAGCGAGTTCATTGGGATGGCTACATTTCTGCTTTTAACAGCAGAATAAGGACTGGAGTCATCTGTTTTAGTCCCCAGCGGTATTATTGTAACCAATGAGATTTATCCAAGGTTTGTTTTTTTGAACGGTTGACGGTTCAACCACAGAGGGAGAACACTGGAGTTTAGGATAAAAGATGTATCTAAAACGACAGAACCTGTATCTTGGATCAAAGAAGCAATAGGAGAGGTTATAAAAAGGCAACTGAAAATTTGATGCTGACTGATCAAGCGGCATTCAGCTTTGGGTGCAAGGACTTTGCTATCAACCAATGAATTATCTGATGAAAGAACCAGAAATGAAATTGAGAGGATCTTGTGGGTTAGGAGGCCACGATGAGTCTATCCCAAGCAGATCAACGATTCAATAAACAATAATCAATTTAATTTTCCATGCAAGTACTCTATTGGGGTTAAGATTGAGCCTATTGACCAAGCAACTTCTGTACGGATTCGACTGCCTATTAGACCTACGCAATTTTTATTACTTTAAATTCCTTTGTCTTGAGAAGCAAAAGGAAAATGAAACGGATCTATCAGGTAATGGAAAAAGACTGAAGCTTATAGGAGTGCAGTGTATAGGTTGATAAGCTCATACCTAACTAACAGGCATCAGTACGTGAAGTTGGGGCACAGTCAAAGTGATAGCCAGTCAAGTAGATTTGGAGTTCCACAGGGCTCTGTCCTGAGACCACTTTTTTATATACTGTATGTTCTTAGTTTACAATTGGCAAATTTGAGGGGGTGATACTACACGTTTGCAGACGATACTGTACTTATTTATGAGGAAGAAGATAAGAACGGGACAGCGGTTGGGCACTGAAGAATATTGTTAATTTGGGGATAAACATCAATAAATTTTCGCCACAACTAGGATCCTCATACATTGAACTCTCACCTCCAATAAATCGTAAAGAAGCCAGCATTAATGTTAAAAATTACGATGATCAAGCCTGCTTTGGTTGGGCAGTAGTTTCTGCTCTATATCCAGCGGAAAAGAATCCTCAAAGACTAAGCAAATACCCAGACCCCGCAGATGTGTTGAAGTTGCAAGATATAGGCTATCAACCAATGAATTATCTGATGAAAGAATCTGAAACGAAATTGAGTCTTTTCTGGTGTGTTTTTCAGTAGTTTAATTTCAGTTTCAAAAAATGATATGGAATCCCTCGTTGTTTTCACCTCATTGATGACTTCCACAAATTCAATTCAGGAAGATTTTTCTATTTTTAACTAGCTTTATTGTGGAGTGTGTGGGTGTGGGTGTGGGGGGTGGAGTGTGTTTGTGTGGAGTTTTTGGAGCCGATTAAACAAAATCTTGCTCATTTCGATGCTGCGCACCATCCTGAACAATCAGGGTCGCTGGAATTACAATTTTCTACTAATCAAAAATGGTCAACAGATAGCCTACACTATATCAGTTCGCACACTCGAGTTGAAGGAGCAGATTGTTAGGGCTATTAACGAGGCACATGACAATATCCATCTAAAAAGTTTAGCACACACAAACCATACTCTAGAACTGACCATTCCTTTTATTTAATTTATAATTTAGAATTATTTATTTAGTTTCAATTCTATAATTTCGCAACATTTCGCTATTCATAAGTAATTGTACAGGTGGTTGATTTGGTGGTTTAAACTTGTGGGATAATAGAAATATCAGCCTCAATTTTTTATGCTAAATTCTAATTAGCAAAATCTATCCTATAAGTAGATTGTGAAACGTTTTTTTTGTTACAAAAGATGAGACTTCAATAAAATTCACCTAGATGTTATTACAAAACAAGACTGTAGTACCTGCCTTAGAGCTATACTGATTATTTTTTCAGTGCTCTATTTGAAACGACAATAAAAAAGACCAGTTCCGCAATTTTTCTGCTAGAAAAAAATTCTGTGAGTGTGTACATTTGATAAATAATCTGAATAAAAGGAGAAGCCGAAAACCTATGTTCAATAAACCTTACTTTTCCCACCTGGTTTAAGTTTGAGGAATTTGTATCTATTTGTATGTATATATATATGTTCAAGAATAATCAGACAATTTTACATATGTAAAGAAAAAAGGGTTGTGCATCCTGTTCACGATTTGGTGGTATAAACAAAGTTTGAGGACATTTTAGTTTATTGATTCTTTCCACTAAGAAAAAATAAAAATCAGTAGGAAATTTGATTTGTAAATGTGAAATAGTTGTAACAAGATCGTCGTTATACACATAGCCTAGACCACAACAATCATGAGAATCAGGGAAAAATAAAAATTGAAAAAGCCGTGAACAATAATCACAGCGATTTAGCATGATGAAAAAATCTGTGAAAAACTTACTCTTTCAAATAGGAGGAGGACACTTACAAAAACACTCGAATTTGAATCGAAGCGAAAAAATTAGGGCACTTAGGAATCGACAATTCACGAGTTCAACGACGCACACTTTAGACACTACTTGTGAAAGCATCCGAAATTGAATTAGGGCGCGAAAATTAGGTGTGTGTTGGTTGAGTAAAAGAAAAATCGCGAGTTGAAAAAAAAGCAGTGCATGGGGCGAAAGGCTAGCAATTAATGAACAACTTTCAAAAAACATCCGCTGGGGTTTATGGGGAAAATAAGTTAATTATCTTTAACGGAAACTTTAGGTTTATGAAATGTGATAAAAATTAGCGTTTAATTATTAAATATGCAGTATTGGAAACCGCAAACTTCCGCTTGGTGCTTATGATTTTATTATTTAGTTTTATCGTGTTAATGTTAGCTTAGTCATGTCTCAGACATTCACGTTAAAAGGTCGAACCAGTTGCTTGAGCGTTGATTTTACTCCACCTATCGAGCTCGATCCTGGCTATAGCTATTCATTGGCTCTCATCTCGTTCACTACTTGGAATTCCATTCTCAACATTGAACCAGGCCGAAACAAGTTCTACTATAGCGAAGAAGGAAAGGAAAAACAATTGGAAATTCCAACTGGATCGTACGAGGTTGCAGATATTGAAGCCTATTTACTAAACTAATTATCAAATCCAACTGGAATAGAACAGATTTCTCTCAAACCAAACAATAATACATTAAAGTGTATGCTAAAGTGCATATACGATATTAATTTCAAACCCAAGGATAGTATTGGAAAACTTTTGGGATTCTCAGAAAAATCTCTGAAAGCCAATTCTTTGCACGAATCCGATCTGCCCGTAGAGATCATATCAGTGGCAACTATAAGGATTGAGTGCAACATCGTTTCAGGCTCCTACTACACTAGTAATCCATCCCATAGGATCTACGAGTTTACACCAGCTGTTGATCCTGGATACAGAATTATAGTTGATCCTCGAAACTTGATCTATCTTCCTCTCAATAGAAACAGCATCGATAATTTAACAATCAATATACTCGATCAAGAAGCAAGACCGGTTAATTTTAGAGGAGAAGAGATTATAGTGAGATTAGAACCGAAGAAGTATGGTCCTGGTTTTTAATCGTGGCTACTTAAACAGTGGTTTCAATAACTGTAACTCAGTCTGTACTCAGGCATCGAAGCAAGCGCTCACACACAAAAGTCTGATCCGGTTGAATTCTCTGGCCTCTAAATATGGCTATCACATCAGAAAAACTGCGAATATTTCAGTCGGTCAACGCCGATGAGTCCATAGCTAGAGAAGAATGGCATACCTACCATCCTTTAACTAACTCTTTCAACTATAACGACGAAATCGAAATTGTTATCAATCAGCAAGACGTGTTTATGGATATCAGCCAAGCCGAAATCTATATCGAAGGAAAGTTTCACGAAGACACTACCGCTGGGAAAACAGGAAAATGTAATCTAACAATTAATGTGGGAGCATTTCTTTTCGAATCCATCACCTACGAATTAAACGGGAAGGAAATTGAGAGAGTCCGAGATCCCGGACTCACTAGCACAGTGCGGAATCTCTTATGCCTCAACGATCAAGAGAGCCGGGCACTCGAGCGAGCTGGCTGGAATTGGCCTAATGGTGTAGTGAAATCCTTGGTGGGGGAAAACTTCAATTTCCTGATACCCTTGAGGGCAATGCTAAATATCTTTTCAGATTACAACAAGGTTATTATGGGTAGACAAAAAATGAAACTTGTCAGAGCTAGAAATGACGACAACTGCTATATCAATACGACGGGCGATAAAACGGGTAAAATCACTCTAGACAAAGTAGAACTGCGAGTGAGGCACATTTATCCAGACGATGTTTTGAAATTGAGCTTGTTGGAAGACATTTCAAATAACAAGCCCATATTCATCCCCAGAATTGAGTAGCGCTAAGTGGCATCACCACGTTCCGCTACTGCGCTGGCAGTCCGGTTCCAACAATGAGTAACGGATAGCATGATGGCGCCTCCAGGATCAAAATATTCCGGAGGTAAAATACCCGACCACTCGGATCTCCGGGCGTCGGGTGATCCTGGGGGTCCTTCATGCAAAGATATAAAAAGATCAAAAACTCAACTCAGAATTGATTTTAGCAATATAAGAGGAATAAGTACAAATATGAATTCAGTTCACCAACATCTTGAAGAACAAAGACCTGACATCCTTGTTCTCACTGAAACTAAAATCAGTTCTGCAACACCTATTGTGAACTATTTTTATCCCGGCTATGACCTACACCACCGATTTCGACATAATTTTGGGATCTGTGTGTACATTAAAAATGACCTTTCATGTCATCGAGAGGAGAAGCTAGAACCAGCGAACCTTGATATCATATGGCTAAAATTCACCTCAAAGTCATCGACCAAGTTTATCTGCTGCCTCTACCGACCGCCAAGTAACACCGATTACCAAAACTTTTTCGCGACATTATCCGAAAGCTGTGATAGTATACAGTCAAACTATCCACAGGCGGAAATTGTCTTTTTAGGCGATTTCAACGTCCATAATATACCCTGGCTGAAACACCACAACAAAACAGATAACGAAGGCAGAGAAGCAGAAGCTTTTGCCATAAGTTGTGGTCTAACGCAGCTTGTCGATGAACCTACCCGTATCTCAGAAAGGGGCGAATTTGCAGCGCTTTTAGACTTGTTCCTAACCACCAATCCTGACTCGTACACAATTCAAGTAGATGCTCCACTTGGTTCGTCCGATCATAAACTTATAATAACAAAGTGCCAAATGCTCATCCCACCAAGCCTACAACCACTTCCTCGTAAAATGTGGCACTATAAATCGGCAAAATGGAATGACCTAAAACAGTATTACCTGGATTTTCCATGGCAAGAGGTTTGCTTTAAAACAGCTGATCCCACTATTTGCTGTAATGAAATAACACAAGTAATCTTATCTGGAATGGACGCATATATCCCACATACAACTAAACGTAGAGCTAATGCAAAACCTTGGTTCAACAGCCAGTGTCAAACGGCTGTACAGAAAAAACACAGAGCATATAACCTTTGGAAACGACAACAAACCGCTCAAAACCACACAGAATTTATAGAAGCCAGAAATAGTTGCAAAATTACTATTGACTCCGCTAAAGAGACATACAATCAAAGAATAAAAAACAGGTTGCTGAATTGTCCAAGTAGTTCTAGGTCTTTTTGGTCTCTTGCAAAAGCTGTTGGATCTAACTTCACCAAGTCATCCATACCACCACTTACAGATAAAAATAATCACTTAGCCACAACATCAGAGGAAAAAGCCAATATGCTTGCCCAAATGTTTTCCTCCAACTCCAACCTAACAGTGCCAAACGGAAAAACTCCACCGTTCATTGAAAGGGTTTCCCATAGTATGCCAGAGGTACACTTTTGTCACAGAGAAATACGAAAATCCCTAAAAAAGCTGGATACAAACAAAGCAATGGGTCCGGATGGCATTCCCGCAATAGTACTCAAAAATTGCGCCAACGAACTCACCCCAACTTTCGCTAAATTATTCAATTTGTCTTACAGGCAAGGAGTATATCCATCATCATGGAAGTCTGCCGCAGTACAACCCATTCCAAAGAAAGGAAAAAAGACAGATCCGTTAAACTATAGACCAATTGCTCTACTTCCGGTGATATCAAAAGTAATGGAAAGAGTTGTGAACAATCACCTAACCAAGTACTTGGAAAAGTACAAAATTATCAACGATAAGCAATACGGATTTCGAAAATATAGGTCAACTGGCGATTTACTTACATACGTCACTCACTTATGGCAAAAAGCGATTGAGTTGCGGGGTGAAACAAGAACAATTGCCTTAGATATATCTAAAGCATTCGACAAAGTTTGGCATGAAAATCTGCTCAACAAGCTCAAAGCAATGGGATTATCGCCGAAACTTTGCACTTGGTTTGAAAGTTACCTAAAGGACAGATCCATTTATGTTGCACTGGATGGCCAGAACTCCAACTCTTACCAAATAAATGCTGGTGTGCCACAGGGAGCAATCCTTTCGCCAACTCTTTTCCTGATTTACATAAATGACCTCATAGATAAAACAGTAAATCCACTTTATTGCTTTGCAGACGATGGCAATGTAGTCTCCTCACTCATACCACCCACAGGTCTTTCCGCACGTGAATTCCATCATCTTAGACTAACT